AATAAATTGCCTAATATTTACAAAACTCCTGCCAACATTGCGGCGATCCGTACGGCAGCTGCATCAGCATTTCCCTGAATCCAGATTTCCCTCAGTATATTGACACATCTAGGCAAAAATCTGTACTTTCAGGAGTACATATGAGGCAAGCAATTTCTGCTCTCGCGGATCTTGAGTTTGAGTGTGTTACAATTTACCGCACCAACTTTTCCTAATGATGAAGGATAAAGTAATAAAAAAGCATCAGATAATCTTCTTGCTTTGTATCAATTTCACTTCAAGCGGTGTCATTTGTTCGATCAGGCGACTGGAACACTGAGCCAATCGCCCAGTTTGCGCTTCCGTTAATACAGGCGTATCCGAGCTTAGGCCTGCACCTGTAAATAACAAGGCATCAGCAGATGAAAGACAAAGAAAAAATTCAATAAAAAAAAGTTGCAAGAAATAAAAACTTCCGGAACCAATACATGTAAAGAAGCCGGCAATACTAAAATACCACTCACATGTGTGTCGGTATGAGTTTACACATATTGTCGAAACTAGTGCATGTGAAGGAGTTACTTAACATGACCCCACTTTACTTGACCTTACTTTACTTGATTCTACTTTAATTAATTTTTTCATTTCTTTAATTTACCTTATTTTACTTGACTTTACTCTATTTGACCTTACTTTATTTTAATTTACTTTACCTTACCCTATTTTATTTTAGTTTACTTTACTCTATTTTACACTACTTTATGTGAGTTTACTTTAATTTACTTCTCTTTATTTTACTCTACCTCACCGTACTTCACTTCACTTCACTTTACCTCACTTTACTTTACTTTTACCTTACCTTGCCTTGCCTTACTTTACCTTACCTTACCTTACCTTACCTTAACTTAACTTAACTTACCTTACCTTACCTTACCTTACCTTACCTTACCTTATCTAACCTTACCCTACCTTACGGTATCTTACCTTACCTTACCTTACCTTGCCTTGCCTTACCTTACCTTACCTTACCTTACCTTACCTTACCTTATTTTACCTTACCTTACCTTACCTTACCTTACTTTTCCTCGCCTTACCTTACCTTACCTTGCTTTACCTTACTTTACTTCACTTTGCTTTACTGCATCAATTTTTCTGAAGACAGCGAATAAAGTGGTGAAAACACACCGGCTAATCTTTTTCTTATTTTGCATCAATTTCTGTTCAAGCTGGGGCATTTGTTCAATCAGGCGACTGGAACACTGCGCTAATCGTCCAATTTGCGCTTCTGTTAACACAAGTGCATCCGAGTTCGAGCCTGTACCTGTAAATATCCATGATCAGCAATTCAGTACATAGGTGGATCCAGTACGAACTCGTGCTGGGGAAAGGAGGGAAGGAAAGTGGGTGGGGAGCAGAGTATCGTCTCTTCCTGGAACTATGCAGTAATGAGGAATAGAGTTTTAACACTGCTATTTAAATTTACTTTAGGCCTTAGTTATTTTTGTTTTAGTTTTAGACCCGGGCTTTTGCTGCACTTGTACCTGTGCCAATAGATGGTGGAAGGAGGAGCGGAGGGAGTGCGACAAAGCTTTCCCCCTAGGGTCCGCCTATGATTCTTTGAAAAGCAAAAAAGATCTGATGTTGATTACAGCAAGTGAAAAACACAGGAACAGCCCAGGCTAAAACGTACCGGGCTGGCCCGTGAGATCATTCGTTTTTACACCGGACTTGAATTACTCAGGTCATTAGCTGCATGAATGGTTGTTGCTTTACACCTACCTCTTGTGATCACTAGCATAAATCACCATAAATTTTGCATAAAGTAGATGCACAATTTCCATTTAACGACTGTTCTTTAAAAGCAACCTAGTTGCTCAGTCAGATCTTCAGCCAAGATTTTAAGTGCCCATACTTAAATGTCACGCGTAACTTAAGGCTAGATTTGAAATACTTAAGTTGTAATTGGACAGGGGACATCCCCCCTAAAGTTTCAGCCTTCCAGCTTTTCTAGTTGCCGAGTTGGTAATTCTCCCGCAGGAACTTTCATAAGTCCTTGCGTAAGTACCAATGCATAGCTTGGGGCTGAATTTGAGATATTTGAGTTGTACTTGAATAGAGAATATTCG